ATTTCAGCCCCTGGAAAACATGTTTTCACCTTTTAATACTCGGGCTTTCCTCACTTTCTAAAGCCTTCCTTGACCACCCCTACCCTCCTCAGATTAACCCCCCTTTTGCTCTACTCCTTCCCTGCCTTCTACATACTTCTATTAATGCACGTATGACATATTTTATTATTTGTTCACATGAGTGCCCTCTCTACCAGACTGTGAGTTTGTTGACAGAGCAGGGTCCTGTCTTTTTTTAATCATCAAAATGTAAAAACATGGCTCTAAATCACTCAATAAACATTACTTGGAATTAATTAAAATGATGTCTTCACCCGTTAAGATTTCCTCTCACATTTGAACTATCCCCCAAAGAGATGGTTTTGAAAAGGAAGATGTGTGAATATAAAGAGTATAAAATACAGTTTAAGTTTGAGTTAAAAAAAAAAAAAAATTAACCCAAGATTACTTGGAGAGCTAGAAATTCTAAGAAATCTTTTAAATGGATGCATGGCAACAGAACCAGAAACAAAACATGAGCATAATGTGGTAAAAATACTGCCTCAAAGACAGAAGGCTGACACTTGAGATGATGCACGGCAAAATGTGCCAAAGCCTAAGGAACTAACAGTCCTGCTTCTCATTTTTCCATCAGATGTGACCCCATGAGAAAGAAACACATGGAAGAAACCACTTACAGAGCAGAAGCAACTACTCTGGACAGTGTTCTGTAAACTTTAAGAATGGCAGAACCCAGGGACTTCCCTGGCGGTCCAGTGGTTAAGACACCATGCTTCCACTGCAGGGGGCATGGGTTCAATCCCTGGTCAGGGAACTAAGATCCTGCATGCCATGCAGCGTGGCCAAAAATAATAGAAAAGAAAAAAAAAAAAAAAAGAACGGCAGAATTCATTCTAAATTTCTTACACTGTGTTGACGAAAGAGCTGGTATTTTTCAGAGCTCGAAGGATGTGAGAGACCACCACCAACTCCCTCCATTTACAAGCGGAGACTTGGGGCTTAGAGAGGAACCCAAGTCTCACCACTAGTTAAGTGGAAGATGAGAAATGAGGACAGTGGCTTCTACTTTCTCTATCTGGGGCTCTTTCCACTACCCCACACCACCCTTCTGCAGGTGAGTTAGGTGCTATATTGTTTTTTTATTTTGTTTACAAATAAAGAGTTATTTGTTTTTCTTAATTCTAAGAGTCTGTAGGTGGTGTCTAGACTTTATATAAATGCTAAAAATGGTTTCCACACTCATAGATTACTTTCATCTTCTACTCTTTTCTTACCCTAACAGGCATAGCAACTCTCAAAGTACAGTCCCATCAGGTTTTGGTAATAATACTGACATCAGAACATGCCATCTTAAGTCATCACTCATCCTGGTTTGTAAAACCTAGCTATCGCTTCCTTGATATTTCATTAAAAGCACTACCATTTCCCTCACTAATCCCAGTGAAGCAGTTTCATTTTACAGTAATAAGAAAGAGGAATAGGTGGGAACAGTAACTATTCAACAGGCAGGATTGGAATTACAGAATTTGAGGACCACTGAGGCAATGGGACACAGCATATCGAGCTAACAGGGCATTTTAAGTCCACAAACAGGAACTCCGGGTTCCCCCAATGATTATAAAGTCAAGTATCTAATAATGAAATCACAAAATATACTAACAGTATCATTGATTAAATGCTTGCCATGTGTTAGCGACTGTTCTAAGAGCTTTACATACATCAACGCCAATCCTCACAAAATACCCAAAAGGTAGGTACGTTACAGATGAGGAAAGTGAGCAGTAATAGCACCAGGATTTCTACACACAAGGGGCTCACACGTGGCAAAACAGAAGGGAGTAGAGGGCAAGTAGGCACTTGGTTCCAACCCTTCTTAAAGAGACATAAATCCCTGTTTACTAGGTTGTATGTGTGTCTGAGGTGGTGAGAACCTTGATGTACAAAGAAAGCACGATTTTCCTCAGGTGGACTATTCATGGAGCAGGGCAGGAGGCTGCCCTTCCCCCAATGCCACACACCTCTTAGCACCTCACAAAAACTGAGGACTCCAAAGATGGAGGGCTCTGTCCGAAGTGATGAAGCAAGTAAGTGTGGCTGGAGTTGGCATTTGAACCCAGGTTTGTGTGGTTTCAGAGCCCTTTCTCTTTCTACGCTGCCACGCTACTTCCTTCTCTATAAATGCCAGATTGTCTAGGAACCGTGCAAAATTAGTAGGTAGCAATTTCACAAATCACAAAATATGAAAAATAAATTACACCTCTGAGAACCCTAAACTATCACCCAGAAAGTCAATTATCTAATGCCCTAGAATAGCATGCATGCTACAGATTCAATACTTCCTAAAGTAGGGCTTAAGTACATTTTAAAGTACACATTCCCACACGAATGATAGGAGTCTGTTTTTTTTGTTTGTATTTTTGCGGTACGCGGGCCTCTCACTGTTGTGGCCTCTCCCGTTGCAGAGCACAGGCTCCGGACGCGCAGGCTCAGCGGCCATGACTCACAGGCCCAGCCGCTCCGCGGCATGTGGGATCCTCCCCGACCGGGGCACGAACCCTCGTCCTCTGCATCGGCAGGCGGACTCCCAACCACTGCGCCACCAGGGAAGCCCAGGAGTCTTTTTTTTAAGTTTTTTTGTTGGGGTGGAGGGGCATGGGGGGAGGTGGTAAGAAGAGAAAATGGTCTCCTCTGAGAGACTCAAGCTGGTTTAGGACCAAGCTGGTTCACAGGAATGAATGGGTTTTTGGATTATGCCAGCTACTGGGTTTAAAGCTGAATATAATCCAATGACATCCAATATCTTCATCCTAATTTGAGAGCCTAAAATGCCCCTATCTTAAGAGGGAATTCATCTATTCATTCAACAATCTTCAGGTAGGCCTGGGCTAGGAGGTATTACAGAGGCCACAGAGATGTGCAGGACAACTCCGAACAGTTTCTGCTTAGGAGTACTTACAGCCTAATTAGAAAAATCAGATAAACGTGTGAAGGGATTAAATAGCAGCAAATGAACAAATTCTAAAAGGGTGAGTTGCCAAGAAGTGGTAGAAGTGAAGGAAGGAGAAAACTCTGGGCTTTTCAGGAACCAGTGGTAGCACTGTAAGCCAGATCTTGAAAGGAAGGGGGGAATCAGAATTAAAGGCAGGAGGGCAGGGAATTCACAAAGGTCCAGGAACAGAGGAAAGGGCTATTACAAAACAAATCCACAAATACCCAGATGTTCTCGCAGAAGGGCAAACTGAGGTGTGTACAAGGATATTCATGGGGTCGTGGTTAAATAAATTATGGCACATCCACACAACGAAATGCAGCTATAAAAATGAATGAGGCAGCTTTATATGTACTGATGTACATTATATACTGCTAAGTAAAAAAAGCAAGGTACAGAGAGTGTGTATACTATGCTACCATTTGTGTGTTTACAAAATACAATATTTATACATATATGCTTGTATATGCTTCAATATTCACGGACTATCCATGGAAAGATATAGAAGAAATTTATAAACGGTGGATACCTCTGTTAGCTGAGGACATGGGTAGGTTAAAACCAAGGGACTGTGCTCTGCAGAAGGCAGGTGGGCTAGAGAAGATCCTAAGTATCAGGGTAAGAGGTTTAGAGAACATGCAAACTCTAGAGCATGGTTTCTCAACACTGGCATCATTGACATTTGGGGCCAGATAATTCTTTGTTGTAGAACAATCTACAAAATTGTTGTACAATGCTGTCCTGTGCATTGTAAGACGTTTAACAGCATTCCTGGCCTCTACCCACTAGATGCTGGTAGCACCCCTGGTTGTGACTCCCAAAAATGTCTCCAGACAATGCCAAGGTACCCTGGCAGGGAAAATCGCCCCTGGTTGAGAGCCACTGCTCAAGAACCACAATATAAACAGTTAACATACAAAACCCTGTTTTACGTTCCTATAAATTAACAAATGCAATACACACTCCAATATGGATCTGAGGAATATACTGGACATTGTTTTGAAATGACCTTCATATATCTGTCATAGTTTCTCAAGTTGTAATAATTCAGGTCCCTTCCCAAATCTGAACTATTCATTTTTAACCATAACTACCCCATCACAGATGTCTCTTTTCTGCATTTGTTGAATACAAGTGATAAAAGTGAAAAAGAAAGGCTAAGTACATTTTCAGCAGTACAGAGAGGGTGGGCGAGATTCCCCAGTGGGCTTCCCATGATGCACTGACCCCCTTGCATCTCTTCAGCATAACTTCTCGAGTTAGTAGACCAGCCCCACTTCCTCCAGATATCATGTGCTCTCTAGATCCAAGATCTTCTAGGATGCCAAGGAAGGCAACCCTCCCACAGAAATCTAACGGAAAACTATATTTTGGCTCAGCTTCTGAAAAACTAATATAATTATTGACACAATAAGAACATAATTACTCATATTATGCTAATAATGTTTCTTCTCATAACTCGTAACGACCACATAAATTACAAGACGCTGTTCAAAAATAATGAAAGACATCACTCCTGTTTCTAAGATTATAAAGAGAATGATTAGTTTATAAAGCCAAGAGAGGCTTTACCTAGATTCTACATATCACGATTTCATTAAGCTTAAAGCCATTTCTAATATACCACAGTGAATAGGAGGAAAAAAAAAAAAATCAAGACATCCAACAGGCTTGAATATTTTTCAAACACAGATCTACAACTTTTGTTGATTCTCCTGTGTCTTTTCTTTTCCCAATGCCAGAAATCCAGTAACACCCTGGCAATCTTTGCTTCGTATTTTGAAGTCACTGATTCCTCCAATACTGTTGTAGGTGAAAAGTTCTGGATTTCATTCTCATGAAATCATGCTCTTCAAATTTTAGTATTGTGCCGACTACTTGTGCTTAGCTCTCAGAAGGTTGGCTCTCATTTGTGGAGGTGACCTCCAGTGACCTGACCCTGCAGTAAATACACCTGTGAGTCCCTAAGGAAGGTGCTTAAATGTGTCCGCGGCGAAAAAAAGAAACTCACCATTCTAACTACTTCAGGGTAAGTCTGCTCTGTCAAACAGCCTCTGCTTATTGTAATGTAGTCCACCAGTTCATTAAGAGTGGAGCGCTTGTATTCTTTCATTTTAAGATCAGATAGCGTGTCCATGAAGTCAAAAATGACACAGCACTGCTGAAGTTTCTTTAGGAACAGTTCAGGCTGCTCTGAGGATGGAACGTCTAAGAAAAAAAAAGGAAATGGTGTAAGTCTGTCATCAATTTCTAGGTAACAGGAATTCTCTGTGAAAGTTAACTTCAAAAGCAAGCTCAAAAAAATAAGAATTCACATGACAACAGTGTTCTTTTAAACAGTTACACATGGGCAGGAGGGGATACCATATCCACTACTTCAGAGACCTTATCTTTGGAAACTACATGGTACCAACACAATTGACAGCATTTGCTATTCAGCCACCAAAGATTGACCAAAATCCCAAGAGCTGTTAGAGAGTTGAAGCAAATTTTAACCAAAAACACCCCAATGTCAACACCCTTAAGCCAAAATCACTGAAAAGGTCAAACTTTCCATTATAAGGTAGACACAGAAGTTTTCACTGTTGGTTTAAATTAATTTTACTAAAAAAATTTCAAAGCAGAAATGTCAGTTGATTCATTTTAATTTCTTGCTGACATCCTTGGTATTTAAAGCAACTGTTGGGTGTGTGAGTTTATATTTCTTGTTTTGTTTTGGCTTGATATCTATGATGCTTCTTTGTCAAAGAAACTCGAAAAATCAACAAAATCAAGCAATACCAACTCTCTCAAAAAGGGCACATCAGTAATGGAACAATACGAGCGAACTCTACTAAAATCTAGGCTCTCCCTTTTGACCCATCTTCTTCCTTTACGGTGGGAGAAAACCACTAACATTTTTATTAATATGTTCTCAGAATAAACATCTGTTCTTTTCCTACAGGCAGCAGGTCAGACATTTGGTTTGGTGTCGTTTCTAAAAAATATGTAGAAATTTTACACTAAAATTCCCCAGCGAGAATGGAAACCTGACCTACAGTTAGACTTGAAAGACACCAACTAAGTTGTCAATAGCTCTTTCCACTCCTATCTTCTTTCCACTATTTTATTCCACCAAACTGGAGCTTCTCTGGAAAGGTGATGAAATTATAACAAGAGAACCTCTGCTGCCTTCATCCAAGGCGATTAACTCATTAATCCACAGAACACTCTTTGAGGTAAGCAGGTGGCATCATTTTATTATTCTCTATTTTTCACAGAGAAAGCTAGAGACAATCATGGAGGTCCCACAGTGAATGAGTTATGAAGCTGGGCTCAGCATCTGGGTCTCTAACCACACTCCCACATTCCTTCTGTACGACTCAAGAAGGACTTGAACAATGTTTGACCTGTCACTTGCTACCATCCTCAGTTGCCAGCCTCCCAGTAAATGCTTTACAGTGGCCTCACAGCGTGGGCCACCTGCTCCCTGGAGGTAAGTGCAACGGCTAACAGCACCCGTCTTACAGCCACCAGCAGCAGGGAGAGAGGGCTAGATTCCTAGTCACAGGATCCACATGACTCCTCTCCACAACCCCCTTGCCTCCCCACAGCCCACAACCCAAGCGCCAGCCCATGTACCCAGGACCTCATGGATAATTCCCCCCAAACACCACCTACTGACATCAACTTTAGGGTAAGCCTAGATGAGGTGCAATGGGCATCTGAAAGTATAGCATTTCCCTACCAGATATAAGGGAACAAGAAGTAGTCGATGTTTTTAAAGGTATATAGCACCACTGCTACTCTCAGCAAAAACAAGTTACATATTTAGAAATTATTCTCAACCAATGAGTTGTCCCTTCCATCACCACCCCATAAATCCCCAAAGGCCTAATGTATCTTATAGTCAAAGAATTGGGGATTTGAGTTCAGCCATGACATATGTCTTATTCTATGACCCTAGACTTAATCACTTCTGAAACATTTAAGCTTTATAAGAACTAAATTTAGACAAACCAAGCTTTCCCTTTAATTGCTATTTGCTTCAGGTATTTACATAAACAAACAAAAACTAAACAAGACTGCTCATCAACATGACTGTATATTGTTAACCAATGGTTAATTATATGTACACGACAATCGTGGTTAATTACTGAAGTCTTCTAAGTCCTAAATCAGATTCCATACCTCAAATCTGAAGGGGAGTTTTGACACTGCACAGGGAACAAGAAAAGGCTTATTAATGTAACATTAAAGTCTTCAGGACAAATTTTAATTAATCCTATTTTTGATACAGTAACTTTAATAATTCTTAAAAAATCAGACCATGTACATGGAGAACTCCTTAACTCAGCATATATAAAAGCATCTATAAATGATAGCTTTTCCTCCAAAAAGCAAACCATCATTTAAGCAGTGACAACAATGATTACTCTTTGTGGTCACTGCAGTGATACTCAAGAGATTCACATTTGGCTACTTAAAAAAATTCAGGCAGTTAACATTTAGTTCTTTTTCTTAATGTTAGACAGTTGGAATGTATTCTTTATTTATCCAAATGGATATAATGTCATAGACAAATGTGAGGAAGGCTATCCACCTAACCAATGGAATAATGATAATAGCTTACATTTATTAAGCACTATTACTGGGTACTATTCTAAGCACTTTACATATATTATATCTTATTTAGTCCCGACAACAACCCTATGCAGTAGGTACTATTCAATTTAACAGATGAGAAAACCAAGACACAGAGAGAGTCAGTGACCTGCGCAGAGTCTTAGAACTAATAAGCAGTGGAGACAGGATTCCCACTCAGGCAAACTGGCTCCAGAGCCTGAACTCTTCACCACTGTGCAACAATCAAACTCAGTGAAACACAAGAGTAATACCATATTCCATAAAAGAGGGTATGTACAAAGAGAAAAGAGGAAGAACACAGAAAGGAATCAGCCAATTAATTTCCAACATGCCCTCATTATAAAGTATCATGCTGAACCCCTCTATCCCATTCCCCAGAAATTAACACATACAGCAACAAGCTATGCTTTATCCTTTATCACAGACTAAATTCCTCTAAAATAACTTGCTTCACCTAAATTAAAGAATTTAAGTAATCAAGACTGACCAAAAGAAAAAAGGGGAATGGTGTCCTGAAAGAGCCAATTCCATTATAACAACTTCTTTAAATTGTGTTTTCATTCGTGCTGAAAGATGACCTAATTCACAACAGTCCAAGCACAGGGCTCTTCCTATAATGTTTGGCCCTCAGACTGCCCCACATAGCTGTGCTGCTCGCACCCTCCTTGGCCTCATTTCCCTAGACCCAGTGGGATATAAAAAAAGTAGAATGTGAAAAGGTAGGACCAGCCAGGATCAGAGAAGGAACACTCTGAGTAGTGCAGAAGGTTCCAGTGATACAAGTTTAATGTCTATGGAACCAGTCCCAGTAGCAATACAAATATTCTTTTTAAAGAAACATTTGTGTATAGCTGATTCACTCTGTTATAAAGCAGAAACTAACACACCATTGTAAAGCAATCATACTCCAATAAAGACGTTAAAAAAAAAAAAAGAAACATTTGTAAAATGTATCAGGTACTAGGCCATAAAGAAAATCTCATAAATGAAAAAAAGAAGAAATCAGACAAGCAGTACATTTTGACCACATGCAGTAACACCAGATTTTAACAACTCAAAGCTACCCACCTCCCAAATCCAAGCCACCTGAAAATCTATATGTTTAGTAACTTAGATGAAGGAAAAAAATACATAGACATTCAAAATAAATGTAAACTAGAAAAATTAAGGGTCATCACAGAATCCCAAAGCAAACCAGGCAATGGATGCTTGTGTCATCTATCTTCCAACAGAAACCTCTGTCCTGCACAGGCCGTCCCTAACAGCAGGAGAGGGATCCCACAGAATCATAACCATAAATAATGAGGAATCGGTAAGTGGTTATATAATACCATGCAGGTCATTAGCACAACAACCCACCCATCCAATGTTAGTATTCATTTAATGGGGAGAGTAACTGATCTAATGATCACAGCTTGATAAGATTCCATAAGGTCAGATCCCACTGCTCTGGAAAAACTCTTAGAATTAATTTAATTTCCAGAATATGTTTCTCACCCAAGGAAATAATGTACTGACCAGCTAAATGGTCGATGCTCTTGGCAGTTGCATTTCTCACTGTATTGTCCTTCTCTTTCCTTTTCAGCATTAGTCATTTTCTCACATGTGCTTTTCCATCACCATCTCTCAACAGCCTCCTATCAATTTTCATCAGTAAGTTGGGGAAATGATTACTCTCACCTCCAAGGTGTTCATACCCAAATAATTTTAAAATTTACAAGTGCAAAAGGTAATGGAAAAATGGGCACAAAATTCAACAGTAAAGGGAGGATGCAAGTACAGATTAATGGACAAAGATTCTCCTGTGTCTAAAGAACAGTCAACAGGCGTTATACACATTTAGTTACACAAGCACACACATGTGCACGCGTGCACACGCACACACACACACACACCCATCCCCTCACCCTCATTATGATTTTAAGGGCTGGTTGTTTATTGATTATTTGTTTGTTTATAACTGGCAGAAGCTCCTTCCTCCCTAATCAAGAGCTTTCATTGTTCCATCTCATCTAAAGTTTGGGGTGTACAGTCATGGATCCAATATCAGCCCATCTTCCCTTGGGGCCTGACTCAGTCAAGACTTTGCAAAGCAGAAAGTAGCATAGGTACAAGAAATAAAACATGAGCCCAATGTCCTTTGGGTTTGGTGCTCTGGGACTCCAGTCAAATGAAATTGTTGAAAATCATTGCAACCTGCAAATGTGCCAACCGAGGAAATAAAGAAGGCCCACAACATTAAATTGATTAGACACAATATCACAGGAAGAAAGCAGATTGGTTTAAAAAAAGAAAAAATGTGGGCTGATAAGTTATTTACACATAAGCTGTTTAAATGTATATAGATAAAATTTCCATAAAATGGTCATGTTTGCATTGGAAGCTAAGCAGTAACATTGTTTGAGTTCCTGATGAACAATATTTATAGCTGGTTATTCCCATTCAAAAGAAATGGAAAAAATATTCTTCTAAATTAACAATGCTTTTCACCTGAAAATGCCCTACAATATTACACACTTAGCCCTTCTACATCCATTTCCCCTATTCTCACAAAAAATAAAGGTACCTGCAGAGATTGAGCA